CTAAGCAGGTGGTTTAGCCTGCTGAGCTATCTCGCCAGCCCAAAAAAATGATTATCTTCACTCTGTGTGGCTCTTTTGGATGCTGTTTTGTTCAGTAAAGGAGGCCAGCCTCCGTGGCTGCTGAACCATATTCTCGTGAGTTGGGGTTCACCCTGGTGCCCCCGTCTGGATCGGAGCTGTGGGCCGCAGCACTGAGCAGCGCACTACATCCCGCACTCTGGGGCAGCAGGGGTGTGGCCGCTGCCGCCCTCTGAGCCTCTTCCCTCCCCTTCGCAGATCCGCAGGCTGAGGATCGAGATAGAGAAGCTGCAGTGGCTGCACCAGCAGGAGCTGTCGGAGATGAAGCACAACTTGGGTGAGGCCCGGCCTGAGGTCTGTGCTGGGGCGTGACGCTCTCGCCTTCTGGAGGGAAACCTGGGCTCATGAGCCGTGCACCCCGACACAGGACTTCGGGGACAGGCGTACACAGGCTGTGGGGGCCCCTGCTTTCTTCTGTAGATGTAGATGATTCCTGACTATGGTTCAGCTTACAATTCCTTGACTTTGTGATTGGGCAAAATCACATCTGGTTCCGAGTTTTCGTCTTTTCTTGGGCCCGGGGTGGGGTGTGCAGTGGGGTCTTCCTCTGCCACCGGGTCTGGCTGCAGCTGCGGCTCCCTGCTGGCCCTCGATCCTGAGCGAAGGAGCCGGGGCTCTGGGAGTGCTGCGCTGCTGAGCTAGGTTGTCTTCTTGGTCCCTGCTGTCGGCTCTTGGTGAGGGCTTTGTCAGGACACGGAGGAGCTTCTGTCTGTGCCAACAGCAGGACATTGATGACAGCATCCGTAACCCTGGCTTACGGAGTGGTGGCTGTGGCAGCAATCGGCTCTTCGGTCTTACAGACGCTGCCATGGCAAGGGAGTTCCGTTAGATCCCTAGGTTTCAAGGGAAGAAAATGAGGCACAGATGTATTAGGGAGCTTGTTCCCAGTCACCAGCTGTGACCAAGTCTGGGGTTATCCCCTCTCCAATGGATTATTTTTTTCTATCTTATTTTTAGACAGGAACTTGCTGTGGCGCTCAGCTGGCCTTGAACTCACTACATAACTCAGGCTGGCCTCAAACTGGAAGAAATCCTCCTACCTCAGTTTTGCTGAGTGTTGGGCTTACGGGTGTGTGCCATTGTGCCCAGCAAATGGTGTTTTTACAAATACTCAGCTGCTTCCTGCGTATCTTCCAGTGTAGAGAAAGAGTTTGTTGGTCTTGTCATTTTGTTATGGACATTAGAAAAGGCTTGCTTTCTAAACATAGCTGCTGTTACGCCAGAGACTTGTTGTCCTCAGAGGCAAGCCCAGCTGTGCTGTGCATGAGACTTTTTCTGTAGTAGTCATTTGAAGTTTCAGGAGAGAGTTTGAAGAATTGAGGCCAGGCATGGTGGCAAACACTTGTAACCAGACACTTGGGAGGCTGAAGCAGGAAGATCACTGGGGGTTCCAGGCCACCCTGGGAGTTCAGGCCTGCCAAGTTCAGGCCAGCCTGCGAGGTCAAGGCCAGGCCAGTCTGTACTACATAGTGAGACCCTGATTCAAAAAAATTAAATAAAAAATAAATACATGAAAATAAAATTGAGGGGGCTGGTGAGATGGCTCAGTGGTCTAAAGCACCTACTTAGAACAAGCTAAGCTAAGCAAAAACACAGGGACCGGGGTTCCATCCCCCAGCACCGCATGCCAGCCAGCCCCGCCCCCTGGTGGGCTGAGCTGGCCACACACACACACACACACACACACACACACTCTAAATAAAATACCTATAAAAAAAGAAAATAAAATTGAGGAAATCTTTCTTATTTGTCCTGTAGGCTACTCACAAATAATTTGCAAATGGACTTAAGTGTTTGATTTCAAATTACCGAGAAATCTCACTAAACAGAGCAGCTTAATAGTTATCCTTTTAGCATGAAGAACAACTGCGGGGTCCCAGCTGGTAGATTGGACCCAGTGCCACAAGGCCCACCTCCAGGAAAGTGTGTCTGATGTGGGCTTAGCTCTGCCCTGTTCGCTGAACGTGTTTCCTCATCTGTAAAGCGGTGGCATGACAGTACTTAGCCCGAAGGATTGCTACAAAGAGTACACAGCTTAGTATTTATACTGCGTTTAGAACTGTGCCTGCTTGTAGTAGGTGCTAGGTGAGTGTTGATTGGTGGGGCAAAGCCTTGCACCGATGGTGAGATTCCCAGAGTGGACCTTGGGCTGGAGACTCATGTGGGGCTTCTGTTGTCCTCATGGTCTGAGGGCTCTGTAACTAGCCACTGTCCGCAGCCAGTGGGGGTGCTTTGAGCGTGAGGATCTGGGGACCCGATGCCCTTGTGCACAGGCGCAGGGTTGCTGACACAGCTAGTGTCCCTTTCCCAGAGCTGACCATGGCGGAGATGCGGCAGAGCCTGGAGCAGGAGCGGGACCGGCTTATCGCCGAGGTAAAGAAGCAGCTGGAACTCGAGAAGCAGCAGGCGGTGGATGAGACCAAGAAGAAGCAGTGGTGTGCCAACTGCAAGAAGGAGGCCATCTTCTACTGCTGCTGGAATACCAGCTACTGCGACTACCCCTGCCAGCAGGCCCACTGGCCCGAGCACATGAAGTCCTGCACCCAGTCAGGTAAGTGCAGCGCCCCAAGGGTGGCTGCCCAGCCCTTGTCACTGGTGCCCAGGAGAGTGACGCGCAGACATGTTGCTGAGACTTGTGGCCAGGCTGTTTCTGACCTTGCCTCCTAGGCAGTGTTTTCATCTCTTGGGTCAGAGCTGCCTGCACCTGCAGTACACAGGATGACCCCACTGAGTGTCCGTAGTATTGACCTTCAGAACCTCTGCTGTTTTGTGGGAGTCATGGAGCCAGGGCTTTAAATAACACAGGTTACAGTTCTGAGCAGAAGCTCTTGGTTGGGAGCAGAGCTGTCTTTGAGGCTGCTCAATGGTATTTGCAGACATGTTAATCTTTACAGTTAGGGTTTATTTATGACAAACCATCCTCAGGAATTAGAGGTCTTGGTCTGCAAGTGGAGCCCCTTGTATAGCGCCTCTCTAGCCTTCACAGGCCCTGGTTTCAATCCCTAGCACAGCCAAAAAAGAAAACATCTAAAATTCTCTAGAGAGCTGGTGAGATGGCTCAGTGGTCTAAAGCACCTACTTAGAACAAGCTTAGCAAAGCACAGGGACTGCGGTTCAATCCCCCAGCACCACATGCCAGCCAGCCCTGCCCCCTGGTGGGCTGAGCTGGCCACACACACACACACACACACACACACACACACACATAAATAAATAAAATAAATTAAAAAAAAATAAAATTCTCTAGAGCCAAGGATATAGCTCCATGGCACAGGTGCCTGCCTGGCAAGCTCAAGGTCCTGGGTTTGATTCCCTCCTCCCACCCTCCCAACCCCCTAGTTACTTGTAAATAATTCATGGCTGTGGTATGTGATAAATCTGTAAACAGGCTGTTGATTTACATGTGAGGACCTCCAGTGTTCATTAGGACTTGTTGCTTTTGGGTCTCCAGTGACTACTTACCACAGGGTCCCTTTCACAGTTCTTTACTTTCACCGTGAAGGCTTGAAGGCAGTCTAACGTACAGAAGTGGGTGGAAGGGCTCCGTTATCCATAAAACCAGGGACCTTTGTTTTATGTCTGCTTCAGTGGAGTCCAGGTTCCTGGTGCCTTCTCTGAGTTCTGTGGGGTGTGCAGCCTTGTGCTGGCCTGAGATGTTCAGGCCGCCCCTCAGCTTCCCTCCTTTGTAGTAGGACGTCTGTTGTCCATAAATGTCTCTCAAACTCCCACGCTTGTGTTCATCCAGGTTCCTACCATGTGCAGAAGCTCTGTGCCTCCCTCTGATGTGTTTTTCTTAGTGTCCTTGTCTCGTGTCACATTAAAAAAAAAAAAAAAAAAAAAAAAGGTCCCATGAGGCAGAGACAGGTCTAAGTCTGGAGACTGTGACCCAGGGTGTGTGTCCCTTGGCAGCCACAGGCTGACTGGTAGGGACAGTGTCATTTGCTCTGAGAACGTGCTTCCTTTCCAGATGGGTGGAAGGCTTGAATTGCTAAGTAGTAGAGTTTGGAACCCACCTTCCGGGGGGTCTGGCCACAGTGGCCTGGGTCTGGTGAGGTGGGCTTGTGGCCACCTGCTACACGGGGCTTGCTTGAGTCCCGTTGGTGCCGAACCACAGGGGCACTGGGTGAGGCCCAAGCCATGACATTTGTTTCCATGTGCCTTTTTTTTTTTTTTTTTAATCTTTTATTTATTTATTTGGTACAGTGTCTCACTGTGCAGCTCAGACTCGTAGTGGTCCTCTTGTCTCAGCCGCCCAGCACTGGGATTACAGGTGGGCGCCACCATGTCTGGTCTCAGTGGCCAGCTCGGCGTGAGGCCAGCATGGCATATGACACCGGGGATTGAACTTGGTCTTGTGCTTGCCAGGCAGGCGCTTAGCCTGCTGAGCTGTCTTCCCAGCCTCCATGTGTCTTCTTTCTTTCCTCTTTGTCCCCAGCTACCGCCCCCCAGCAGGAAGCGGATACCGAGGTAAACACAGAAACAGTAAATAAGCCTTCTCAGGGGAGCTCCTCCAGCACCCCCTCAGCTCCTGCGGACACCGCCAGCACCCCCAAAGAGAAGGAGCCATCAGTTGAGAAAAGCAAAGACAGTGGCTCGGTGAGGATGCCCTGTGTCTTGTCCAGTGACCTCCGGCCTCTTGGCCTGGGACCTGTCCTCCTGTGACTCGGAGGGTCCCTGGCAGGACCGCAGGGTCTGGAACAGTCTCCCCAAGTGTGTCTTACTGCATGCCCTGTGTGCACTCTACCTGGCATGGGGGCCACCACCTGCAGTTGCTGAGGACTCAGAATGTGGCTCATTTGACCAAGATCTGGTGTTTGAGTTTAATTTTAGTTCACTTAGATTAAATTGCTAATTGCTGCCATATTGGTTTGCAAAGGTGCCACCTGCTTCCAGCATGCGGTGTGACTTTAATTTTATGCAAAGACTATTCACAGGCACACTAATCAGTTTTTACTGCTTTACTCATTCAATATATTGGGAAACATGGAATCACTCGACTATCAAAAACACTGTGGCTTCACTGGTAGTGTTCCTTAGCAAAAGGCTAACTAACGTATAATAAAAGGGAGTTGATAGAATTTTACAGTCATGCACTTTTTTGGTAAAGCAAAAATCTGGAGGTAGTGAGGGTACTGGGTGAAGTTAGGAAATAGAATGTTCTAGAAGCTGAGACTAGGGTAGAGCAAGGAGTCACTCAGTGCTGTGTTCTGGTGTTGAGTCTGGGAAGCAGCACAGGTGTGTAGAGCCTGTGACCTGGCTGTCACCTGACCCCACCATGTACAGGCACTGAGGTACCTTGAAGGGGAGCAGTGGGCACTGTCGTCATGACTCACTTGGTTTCTTTAGGGGCTCCATGGGCTCCAGGGTTCTGAATCTATCTTTTGTGTTTCTAGACCCTCGACCTTTCAGGCTCCAGAGAGACGCCCTCCTCCATTCTCTTAGGCTCCAACCAAGGCTCTGGTATGTTGCCCCCCTGGTGGGCGGATGGTGGTTTACAGTGGGGCCTGTGAGGAGCCATTCTGTCAGGGAGAACAAGGGTTTATGGAAGTGGTTGAAGGATGATTGGGGGCACTTTGAGTGGGCTGGTGGGGGTGAGGGTGTGTCTGGGCAAGGCAGTTTTCCAGCACCTCTCCTCACTGGTCAGACTTGCCTATGTTTATTTGGCTTGTTGGGGAATCCACGTAAAACTTAATTTGTACACAAGGTTCTGCTCCCAAGGGAATGATGAGGTAAAGTGCTGTGTGACACTCCTGAGGTGCCAGTGGCTTTGGGTACATGAGACAAGGGGAGACTGTGGAAGGGCCTTGTGTGTGGACAGACCTTTCCTCTGGGGGAGGGGAATACCTGGGCAACTGAGAGAGTCCTCTGAGACTTCTGGCATCTTCTGGGGGGCGGGGGCTTAAGCAGTCTTCCTTTCCTAGCCCAGGGAGTCCTTTTCCTACATCCTCCTAAGCCAGCTTTGGTCACTGCAGAAGAGTTCAGAAACGTGCGTTCCTTGCTGAGGAGTTTTCTTGGGATTTTCACCTGTTACGTTAGCTCCAAGATCCATTTGCCTGATGAGTGATCCTTATTAGCTGAAAACCAAAAATTTAGTTTTACTTTTGCAAGTTGGATGTGTGGAGGAAGAGGCAAGGCCTGTTGTTTGGATGGCGGGCGAGGCTTTCCCAGGGGCAGACCTTGAGGGGCATGGCCTTGGGTGGCCGAGGTTCAGCAGAGTGGCAGGACCTGACTTGAGGGAGAGTGTGAGCTGGCACTGAACATGACTCAAGGACGGTATTTTTTCAAAAGCAGATTCCCTGGGTGTGGCACTGCCTCTAACCCCAGCTACTTGGGAGACTGAGGCAGGAAAATGGTGAGTTTGGGACTAGCCCAGGCACCTTAGCGAGACCTGTTTTCAAAGAACAGAAAGGGGGTGAGAGAGAGTGCTATACTAGAGTGCTGCTGGGTCCATTCCTCAGTTCTGTGACAAAAGAGAGGGCGCCACTTCTGTCTCTTCTTCGGTCCCCGAGGCCCAAGCACAGTGTGGCGCCAAGCTGTTGTTGGTATACCGGGTCATTTCAAAGCCTCTTTCACCAAGAGAACGCTTTGCATTCTGGCAGCTGAGTGGGGCTGCAGTTTGGGTTTATTGAGTTAATTTTGAGAGTTGCCTTTTATTTATGGCAGGTCCAATTGATTTTTCTGCTTTTGGTGGTGACGTGTTTCTTAAAATTTAAGTTTAAAAATAAGTTAAACACGAACTAAGAAATACAGAAAAGGATCATGGGCACGTGAACATTGCAAACGTGGTGCAGGAGAAGTCCGAGTTGGGAAGTTCTGTTTCAGATGCTGAGTTTCAGAGCAGTGTGGTAGATTGAATGATGAAGTTTGCGTGATGTGGCATTTGGGGGTATTAGTAATGCCACTTATTGGAGACTGTTGGGAGGAGAACTGTGTGCTGGGTGGTTGGGAGTCACCTCCTGTTCTGTCCCTGAGAAGCCTGAGGTATTATCTAGACCAGGGGCTGGCATGTATTTGAGGTGGAGGGCCAGGTCTTGCTTTAAGCATTGAAGGCCGTGTGGTATCTGACCAGAGGCCCCTGTTTGGGATGGCAGGAAAGTAGGCCCCAGTGATAAGGAAGCCAGTGTCCGGCTGTGTGACGGCGATTCTCCGGGTGCAGAAGTGGGCGCCGGGTGGGCTGGAGCGGGCCCTAGTTAGCTGACCCTGGTGTCAAGGGGCAGGAGTAGAAAGTAGGATTCAGGCTGGGGAGGTAGCTTGGCGGTCTAAGTGCCTGCCTGGCAAGCCCATGGACTCTTTGATCCCCGGTACTGCATGCCGTGCCAGCCCAAGCATCTTGGGTGTACCCTGCTGGCCCTGAAACCAGGCGTGGTGGTGCACGCCTGAAATCGCAGCACTGGGGATGCTGAGACGGGTCCAAGCTGCGTAGGGAAAGTAGGTACCAAATAAATTAATCAAAAGAAAGAAAAAGATTAAAAAAAGAAGGGTTCAGAGTGGAGTGGGAGGTGAGAAGCCCCCGAGATGGTGGCAACCGTGGCGAGAAGCAGGTAAAAGGGACCCAAGTAAGGCCGGAAACGCGCATCTCCACGGCGTTCCGGAGGCAGAAGTGTGCTCACTGGGTCTGGCAGGCGTGCAGGCAGCACAAGACGCTGGTCACACTGACTCCTGACGTGTGTGAGCGGAGTTCCTGCTTCCGTTACACAGACGAGCAACTGAGGCCCCGCGGGAGTGGAGCTGGTACCTGGGTAGTTCAGGGAGTGACCACGGGGACCAGGACTTGGTGCAGAGATTGTGCAGATCTCTGGACACCACCACTGGGTGAGGCGATTCAGGGACTCACTGCTTCCATTGTAAGTCAGAAGTGGCTGCCCCAAAGTGGGTAAAAGCCATCCATATGGCTTGGTTCCCAGGATGGTGTGCTCTGGGGCTCCCCACCCGGCTCCATAGACCCAGCTCTTCCTGTTAATCCCCTGCGCCTGGCCTTCCATGGCCCTGGCTTCCGGTGCAGCCTCACAGTCTGGGCCCACCTCACCTGCTCCACCCCGGGCTTCACTGGATGTCACCAGGGTGCAGACGCCTTTATCACTGACCTGAAGGGCAGAGATCCTCATCTACCCCTCACCTCACCAAGTTCCTTCCAGCAGCTTAGGATGCCACCTTCCACAGTGATGCCCCATGCTGCCCGCTTCATCCCAGCCCCTGCCTCTGTCACTGCCGTGAGGCCGGTCCTGCCTACCCTCCTTGGTCTCTTGCAGCCAGAGTCCTCCTTCTCGGCTGGCTCCCTCCCTGGGCATTGGAACACCTCGAGTCTCCACTTCCTTCCTCAGTGCCCCATCTCCATCTTAGAGCAGCGTTGGCCTCCTGTGGCTCCTGAGCCCTCGGGTGGCAGCCCAGGGAGTGAGGGTTGGAACTGAACATTTTTTTTCTGCGTACTCTAAAGAGGAGCTCAGGGCTCACACAGTGAGCTGTGCTACCTGAAAGCTGCCGTCTCCTTCCTCAGCCTCTTTGCTGTCTCCTCTCATTCCTTTTGCCTCCACTGCCCTCACCGCTCCTCCGCTCAGCCATGCGGCTTCTGTTCCCACACCTGCCCTTGGCTCACCGCACCGGTGAGCACCTGAACACCATGCCATTGCCAGGCAAGGCCAGGTTAAGGTCTAAGTGTTCTTAGAAGACCCTGTGTCCGAAGAAGAGCAGGGTGCTGGGCGTGGTGGTGCACCTGTAATCCCAGCACTTGCACGGCTAAGCCGGAGGATCGCTGCAAGTTCTAGGACCGTCTGGGATACATAAACCCACCTCGTGTATTCAAGACCCACCAGAACTATAGTTTCAAAAACAAAAACCAGGTTTCTGAGAATTCTGGGATTTCTACATCGGCCGTTGCCCAGGTTTGAGGTAAAGACTGAGATAGATGCAGTACTACGCTGAAGGAGATCAGCCAGCATTTGGACGTGGAGGGAGGCTTGGCACAGGCGCATCCATGGGCACATTGGGTGGAGCATTCAGTGTACACCAGGCCCCGTGGTTCTCCCCACAGAAAACAACCCAAACAGCCGGGCATGCTGGCCTACACCTGATATCCCAGCCCTCTGGGAGGCAGAGGCAGGAAGATTGCAAGCTGAAGCCTAGGCTGGGCCATTTAGGGTCTTAGTAAGACACAGCCTCACAATAACAAGGGCTGGAATGTAGCTCAGTTGGAAGGCCCTGTGTTCAGTCCCCAGGGTTGGCACCCATGCATGCACACATGCATGTACGTGTGTACGCACAATTTACATCTGTGCTTTGGTGGCGCCGCTGTGTGCAAGCAGAGGAAGGAACACCCGGGGGAGCCTCAGGCCTACCCGGAAATACAGTCCTCTGCCGCTTTCTCATCAAGGTTGTTAGCAATGAAGGTTGGGTCACTGCGGAGAAACACTCACTGCCCTGCATGCAGCCAGCTTCTGTCACTGGCTTCTCAGAGATGGTGTCAGGGACATGGCCTGGGACACGGTGTGGAGGCCGGCGGACAGCAGCCGCATGGGCTTCCCAAGGTGCTCATTTTCATCTGGTGTCAGGTCGAGGCCCCAAGGTGCCCGTTAGAGCGGTCAGGCACTGGTCTGGGCCTCTTTTGCTTTTCTGTGAGATTCCAGCCAAAGCAGCAGGTGCAGTTGAGTCCAGAGAAGAATCCAGAAGGGAAAACGACTGGCATGGTGCAGGCCCAGGCCCCCTGCCGCATCTGGCCCTCCCCTCCATGGTTGTCAGTGCCGTACCAACATGGACATCCATTTCCTGACTGGCTTCGCGGCCTGTTGAGCCTGAATAGCTGAGCGCTGCCATCCCTCGAGACTTCCCTTCCCTCACTGAGGGAAGGTCTCCCAGGCAGGTGAGGGATGGCTGTGGCCCAGGGCAGCCCCACCTCACCTGGCCGGATCGCCTCCCTCCCCTTCTGCACCCTTCTGGGACCGCAGTGGTGTCTCGCTGTGTCGAGTCTGAGTCTACACCAATTCCCCGTGAGGCCCTCACTTGCGACCTTGTGACTGTGGCTCTGCCGCTCCTTTGGGGCAAGCATGTGCCCTCCCTTCCAGTCTCACGGCCTGCTCTTTCTTTTTCTTCCTCTTATTTTCTGTCTTTTCCCCCCTACCACAATCCTTACTACATCAGTGATTCTATGGAGACTCCTTTTGTCTTTCATTGTGGCCCTTGTAGGACTTGAGGTGTCTGTGGATCTTTAGTTTCAGGGATGGCCTTGGGGGTCCCACTGCTGGGCTGGGTTTCAGCCCCTGCGGTCCCTCTCCTGTCCTCCTCCCTGCTGCACCTCGTCCAGCTTGTGGCTCTGTCCTCACCCCGGCTTCAGACAGTCCCTCCTGCCCCAGTGCCTCTGACCCTAGCGCAGAGCTGGCACCTGCCTGTTCCCTGGTCCGAGTGGGCTTATTGGTAGAGCAAGTGCTTCCAGGACTCTTACTTCTGAGACCCACAAGATCCCAAGAGTTCAGGGTTTAGCACACGCTGCGTTGCTCCGTTTCCTTGTGTGCCTTACTCCCCACTGTTGTGCTGTGTCCTGTGACGCCGTGCGTGGTTTGCTGCGCACTTGTCTCCAAGTTGTGGTCCCCCACCAGTGCACACTGAGTTGGAGTACGGTGATGTCTAGTGACAGTGGCAAGATAGTGAGCCCGTGGGGTTGTACGGAACGGCAGCTCTCTGACGGACTCTGAGGCTACTGTGCTATCTCTTCAGTTAGCAAAAGGTGTGACAAGCAACCTGCCTATGTCCCAACCACCACAGACCACCAGCCGCACCCCAACTACCCCGCCCAGAAGTGTAAGTATGAGCCCGTCTCACGGAAGCTGCCGGGAGAAGCCCTGTCTGTGTGTCTCTGTGTCCCCCTGTGGGCGTGTCCTCTCCTGTCCTCTTGGTGCCGGGCCTTCACTTTGCTGTTTCTTCGTAGCCCTCCCTTGCCCCTGGTAGCCTGCTTTCAGACGGGAGCACACGGCTGCTTTTCTTGCAGGCCTTAGCCTTAGCCTCTCTTCCCCTGGCCCTGAGAGCAGTCAGGTAAGCCCTGGTCCCTCAGCAGCCCCCGGCCCCACTTTTCCTAGTGGCCCTCGTAGGACTGGAGGTGGCTTGCTGCTGCACAGAGGCATTTCCTTGTGTTGCAGGTTGCCCAGGGCCATCAACCCCAGCACTCCCAGAAGCAAAAGCAGCCTCGTGAGGAGGAGTTGGATTTAGGATCAGGCTCAGCCCTGTCCCCATCAGTCCTCCTTATACTGCCCCCCTTTGGCCATCAACATAGGTAGCTCTAGTTCTCCCCCGAGGCTCTCCCCCGAGAAGGTGGTCCCCATTTGGAGAGCTTTCCTTCTGCCTCCCCACAAACAGTTTGGCCAGGCAGCTGTGGGGAGCAGTCCCTGCAGGTCACGGTAGGGGCCCGTCCTTACCCATTCTGATTCCATCTCTAAGCTCGACACTCAGCTTCTTTTAATCAAGCGTTCTACCTTGAGGAAACTAAAAAGAAGCAAGTCTGTCTGCACTTGGTAAACGATCTAAGCCCCTACAGGCTCTTGGTGGTGGCTGTTGGGGGCGCACACACCCTTCCTGTGGAGCCCACAGACTTGGGTCTATAGCAAGGTGGTCTTCAGGATACCTGGTGTGGCTCTCCCTTCGCCGCCCTCTTCTTCCTCAGCCACCCCAGCTCTGAGTGTCCTCAAAGCCATCCTAGTGCTTACCTGATTCGCATCGTTTTCCAACCCTTCCATGCACCAGTGGATTCAGCCACCTGGTCACCCTTCTTTCTCTTCTGCCATCCTCTTCCCCTGGGTGGGCACCTGTGGTTCGGGTCGTGTTAACCCATAAGTTATACGAGGAACTTCCTTAATGTAAGTAGATTGCATGCCAAGATTTTGCTGCCTCTGCAGTGGCCAGTGTGAGAAGCACAAGTGCATGGGGTTCCTGGTGTCGTTCAGGGACATCGTGCAGGTGCTCGGTTCTGGCTACAGCACGAGAAATGCCTCCCTTGGCTGCAGAGCACCTCTCTCACTAATCTGTACCCCCAGCATGACACCCTATTGGTTTGCCGGCCAGTTCTTATTAAATCCTAAAACACGAGAGTCATTTCACTTTTGTACCGCGGATACCCACAGGTGTAGGGGAGTCAACGGTGCCTTTCTCTTACCCGTCAGTGCTGTGTGGAGCGGGGCGGGAAGGTGGCTCCCGGCTAGCAGATGATGAAGCGGTAACTGGCCCAGTGAGGGCAGGCAGGCTGAACCAACCTGTGGCTTTCCTCCCCAGACCATTCCCGGAGCAGCAAGTCCAATGCCTGGAGCGGCAGTGAGGAGAAGCGTGGGGCGGGCCGCTCTGAGCACAGCGCCGGGACCAGTGCCAAGAGCCTCCTTCCGAAGGAGTCTCGGCTGGACACCTTCTGGGACTAGGGGCAAGTGGTGCCCCAGGCCACCACCCCTTGGGGGTAGCAGCCCGGACACCGGGAGAAGAGGAGATGGCAGCACCAGAGTGACCATCAGAGACGCTAGACATGAGGACGCAGCCTCGGCCGGCACTCGGCACAGGGCAGCCACACTACATGACATCCGGCATCGCCTTGCTGAGACTGTTCGACCACTTGCGCCCTAAGCTTTAGGTGTAAATAATGTACAATTGTGGATGTCACTGAACCTAGAGTACCTTTCCTTTTTATATTTGTATTGACTTTAACTTATACAAAAAAGAAAAAGAAAAACAAGTTTAAAAAAAAAAAAAACAAACCCAACAACAAAAAAGAATGTTTTGATGTTGGGAAGAGGGATGCTCAGTGGTCCCCAGTGGTTGGGGGCTAGGCCTAGGGATCAATGTCACTTACGGGTCCTGATCCTCAGAGCCACAGGGGAGCCGAGCTGGTGTCCCCCAGCAGCAGGGCTGAGTGGGGAGTCTGAGCACCGACCACGCCAAGCCATCAGCCCCTCGCCACGCTGTTATTACCATGTTTCCAACGGGGCCCTACAGACCAGAGGGGTGTGTGGAGGGACACATCTCTCTGCGATTTAAATAACTCCTAAAAGGGAAAAACAACCACCTTGTTTACAGAAGCTACACAGAAACAAGCCCCGCTCAGCTAGATCACAGAGTCGGACGCGGTAGGAAAGTGCGAGGGTCATAAACTCAGCAACACAGAAAAATCTGTTCTCTTTGCTTTATGATTCCTTTAACCACACTCACACGCCCTTGGTAGGCTTTCTCCTCGGAGGCAGGGAGGCCGAGGCAGAAGGCACGCAGGCCAGGTGTGTCTGGACGGAGCATGTCGGTGTTATTTTTCAGGATGCAGTTCTACGTCTTTATGTAAGCATGAAGCAGAGGCAGTATGCGAGAAGGCGAGTTACACTACGTATGCTGTAGTATCATTTTGTATGTTGTGTAAGACAAAAGGCATTGATCAAAAGCAAAAGGCGATATATGTATATGAGAAAAATTAATTGTACGATATCATTCCAGTACATTCTGTTGTACATTTAGTCTCATTTCCTTTCTCTTCATTGTTGATAAGAGGATGCAAACTGTACAGTTTCCAGCTAGCTACCCGTAGTAGAGAAGAAATAAGCAGAGATACTAGAAGAAAACAAGAGGAAGAACATTTGTGAATTGCAGTTGTCAAAAAAGAAAAAAAAAATAGCCTAGCTGGCCTTATTTGTGAAGCATAATTGCTTTTAGCATATGGAAGTATTTTTTCACATTTTCTTTGTATAAAATTTGTATTAAACTTAAATATCTTTTTTGATGACGGTGTTTCTTTGTGCCTGAGCCAGTGGATTCCCAAGGTGTGGTCTTTTGGGTTCGCCTACTCCCCTTCCCAGTTTTTTCCAGGTTCTTCACCTTTTTTAAATTAAACTGTTCTGGCAAAATTGCTTGGTCGTCCTCAAATTGCAGTTTTCCAAATGGTTGGATGGCTGTGTTTTAGGATTATACAAACAGGAGAGGCCCGTAGGGTAGGAGCTCAGCGACAGTGGCCCTGGCAGGGGGCAAGGAGGGACGGTCTGTGGGGTGCTGAGGCAGAGCCCAAGCCCGCAGGGGGACGATGGGCAGCAGGAGCCTGGGCACCACCAGGGGTGTCCTGTCCACAGCTCTGGGCCTGGGAGAATGGAGCAGTCTTAAAAGGCAGGACTCCACCCAACAGCCAGTGCCCCCTTTCTGTGGCCTGTGGTTCTCCTGTAAAGATTTGCCCTACCACCTTCCTGCCTAGGACCATGGCAGGTGCCTGTAATTCCAGCATTGGGAGGCTGAGGCAGGAGGATTGCTATGAGTTTGTGGCCAGCATGGGTTACGTAGTGAGACCACTGACTCAGATTCTGTGTTGTCAGACACTGCCTGATGCTGGCCAGGCTACTGATTTCGTGAGGGTGGATTGCTGATCTTAGCCCGGAGGCGTAAGTAGGGTGAATTCCTTGGCAGCAGCTTGCGATTCCCTGCTCCCCTCTGCCCTGTGATGTGAAAGCAAGCTGGAGGTGCTTGTACTTGTGCCTGTGTGTGTGTGCATTTGTGTGTGTACACGCACGTGCGCCTCAGCTGGATGTGACTCAGAGGGGACTGCTGCCTGCTCCCTACTCCCTACTATGTCCCCAGGGGTGAAGGTCACACTTCGATGTCAGCCTCTGGGCCCACCCAGCCTCCCCGGAGCAAAACACCAGGAGGAACTTTGCTGACTCAGGTGGAGACCACTTTATAAAAAGATGAATTAGTTTTACCATTTGTTTTCATCATGCTTACAGCATTTGACCCCAATTAGAAAATCTGTGTAGCTCCTTCCCTCCCCATACCTGACTGCCCTTTTGCCCTGTGCCGAAGAGCGCAGGTGGCCACAAACACATGCTTCTCCCCACTCTGGGTTGGTTTGGTTTGATATAGGTCTCCTGTGTTGCCCAGGCTGGCCTCCCGGGCTCCA